TCCGTGGGGATTATCCTTTTTCTAGTTTGGAATCCAAACTACAATCCATAAAAAGTCAGTTAACATACTTGTTACCCTTAGCTTGGCCTCATGAACTTTTAAAATGCCTATGATCCGAGACTTTAATTGTTTTTTCTTCCCAAGTGAGTATTACGCTGTTTTTGATTGAGTTACGGTTTTTGTGAAATAACTATAACTTTACAATTTTAAGTTTTTTTTAAGGTAATAATCTACGATTATCTGCTAAAAATAAATTAAGTGATTAAATTGCCAAACTATTGACATTTCATTCACTATTTTTTTTTTATTATCGTATTAGGAACGGACTAGTTATATCTTTAGAAGTAGTTTCCCCTCCAGGAAAATTCAACCTCTCAACAGATTTTTATTAAACACAGTCGTCCCTTATTACACGTGATTTCGGTGAACGGATATTTCGCATATACACAGTGGACCGATTACAACAATCCCTCATCATATGCCAGTTTTTACCTCACAGTTATGTCATGCAAGAAATTTTAAAAAGATTCTTCATTATTAATTCTCTGTAATATATTAAGTCATCACGGAAAAAATATTAAAAATTAACTCTGGATAATATTTTATTAAAATTGTTGCTAGATATTGATACAAATCACCGAAAACCAGTTCTATCTATGAGCAAATCGTTTAAAGTGTAGTATTATAAAATCCGTAGGTGGTAAGAGATTTCAAGTAGGCCAAAAATTACTGTTCAGAAAGCCAAAGTTCGCAGCTGGTTTTACCAGATAGATGAATCAAAAAAAAAAAAAAACAGTTATAAACGAGATCCATAGAAAGAAAAAAGCTTTATAACAATAAGTGCTGCATTCATGTAGTTGAGTAAAACAAAAACTTGACAGACAAATACAAAAAAAAAAAAAAAAAATTAGCTTAGTACTAACGATGGTTTAACTCCGTAAGTACGTCGTGCATAAATACAGTACTCACAAAGTTCAACCATCGTGAGTACTGAGCCAATTTATTTTTTAATTTTCCTATTCGTTTTTCAAGTTTTTGTTTTACTGAACTATATAAATGCAGTACTTATTCTTATATAGCTTCGTTCTTCCTATGGGTCTCGCGACCCCTTTGTTACTTGAGAAATTGTGTTTCTTTATTTTATGATGTTTTTCAACACTTATCTCATGTTTTGTTCTTTTTTGTTACTCATCTCATGGTTAGCTTCTTTTAACTTTTTTCATTTTTTTGAAATTTCTTTCGATTCATTTTTTTTTTTATTTTCATTTAGTTTTTTTTTCATTCGATTGTATTATTTCATGTCTTTTTTATTTCACTTCTTTTTTTCCTTTTTTTTTGTATTTTATTTTCTTTATTTTTATTTCATTTACTTTTTTATGTTGTTTTTTAATGTCTTTTTTGATTTTATTCCCTTTTCTTCATTTTGTTTCATTTTTTAATGTCTTTTTTGATTTTATTCCCTTTTCTTCATTTTGTTTCATTTTTTAATGTCTTTTTTGATTTTATTCCCTTTTCTTCATTTTGTTTCATTTTTTAATGTCTTTCGTAATTTTATTTCCTTTTTTGATTTCAAGTATTTCCCATTCAATTTGTCTCATCATTTAATACTTATTGATTTCCTTTTTTTTCCTTGATTATTATGTTTTGATTTTATACCTTTCTTTTTATTTTTATTTTTAATTGTTAATAATTGCATTTTGTTTAATTCGTTAATTCTTTTGACTTTTTTGATTTTGATTTTGAAGGACTTGAACCCATTTCAGTTGAATTTACAACTAAAATTACCTTCTAGGCAGTCCACTGTATCACTACCAACGACTTCAAAGTCGTATCATTAATTTAATTTCGAAATATTAAGCTAAAAAAAGCTAAAACTTAAAACTAAAAGTTGCAACTGAAAGAAGAGTTGCAACTGAAAGTTGTAACTTATCTTTTTTCCAGTTGCAACTCTTCTTTCAGTTGCCATTTCCAGTTTTAAGTTTTGGCTTTGTTTTTTAGCTAAATATTTCGAAATTAAATTAATGCTATGGCTTTGACGTCGTTGGTAGTGGACATTCTAGAAGGTAATTTTAGTTGTAAAAAAAATTATTAAGCTTAGCTAGGGCCTAGTAAACGAAAATGGAAAAAAATACTTTGAGAAAATCGTTTTAACAACTATAACAAACATTCTGACCGTCCACTATGTATATATCTCTACAGACGACTACAAAGCCATGACATTACCAAAAATTCGAAATTTTCGGGATGAAAAACAGCCGAAACTCTAAACGTATGTATCACGGTAAGTAGTGGATAAATTCAACTTGTGGACAGTGGGTGCTTGGGAACCCAAAAATTAAGTTATTCTTTTATAAAATTCTGTGGCAAACAATATATGAATAAAAATACCGAGAGAAATACTTTGTTTGAAACAATATTTCAAATACCCCTATGCGATGTATCGCAGGTGGTGCAGTTATTATTTAATCTACGATATTCGGTAATTGGGGGTGGCTTCAATAAATAGTGTAACATAAAATAAATGAATAATTATTTACAATATGTTATGTAAATCAGAATTGTTTAGATTAAAGCCATGGCACGACGTGCTGACAGGCTGGCCAGTACAAGACTGTGCCCTTTCATCTTCAATAGGGTAGTATTACATTATTACGTGGCAGTGAACGTCGCTGGAGGACGTTCATCACACATAGGTTTTTTGATATATATCATTGAAACGTGCATTAGCTATAGCATAAAAAATACTCACAAAAAACTGCAGATCGTTTAAATGCACAGTTGACTGTACAGTACATGTTTAATTTGAAAAAAACCTCAGTTTATTTTTCAACCTCATGGAAGAATCACGTAAAATTGCTATTATAAGGAAATGATCTGTTGAAAGCTCCCAATGTTTTGTATGATGGATTAGTTTTGTATGAACCTAAAAAATTTTAAAATTAATGTGCAAGTTAGTTATTTTGATAAAATAAGAAAAAAGAGTCAAGTATTTGTAAAAGCGTGTATATAAGTATATCCGTATGAAAAAAATAATAGCCAGCATTGCTACATATTTGCGTTCCTCCTACCTCTCTAAAATTGCTATTATAAGGAAATGATCTGTTGAAAGCTCCCAATGTTTTGTATGATGGATTAGTTTTGTATGAACCTAAAAAATTTTAAAATTAATGTGCAAGTTAGTTATTTTGATAAAATAAGAAAAAAGAGTCAAGTATTTGTAAAAGCGTGTATATAAGTATATCCGTATGAAAAAAATAATAGCCAGCATTGCTACATATTTGCGTTCCTCCTACCTCTCTAATTTAAATGAAANATGTCAAACTACCTTGCCAACAAATATATAACAACCAATTAAATAAAAATAAAAAAACAAATGTAATAAAGGAAATTATAGACAAATGAAATAATTTAATAAATAATATAGCATATTATCGAACCAAATTAATTATTAATCAGTAAATAAATATTTAAATTACAATTCAGTTACGAACCACACAATAAGTAGAATAAACCGAAGTTGTCATGTTGGGAGCGCTCGTAGCAGAAAGGATAATTTTAATTTTTGAAGAAAAAAATTCAGAGTTGTATAAAAATCATTGTGGGAAAAAAAAATTATGATTTAATAAGAAATTAATTGATTTGTGTGTGTGCTTCGATGGTGTAGTGTGAAGGGGAATGGGGGGTGAGGCAAAACGGCGTGAGATGGAAGGAGATGTGCAGGAGACTAGCTCCACATGGAAGAGACGGGGTGAGGGGTAGTGTGTAGGGAACTGATGGTAAGGGTGACGGGGTAAGGGGGGAAATAAAATAAATAAGGAGGAAGAGACTTCTGGAAAGCGACTTTCGATTCATGAAAATCTGTCGTTTTTAAAATTCCAGCCCCCCAAGCACACGAAATAAAGAGTTTCGTTCTAAAATTATAAATTTAATACAGAGAGCAATCGATATAACAATCGCGCATGATCCAATTATATTGAAATCATGACACTTAAATCATAATTATAATTTAGCTGTACAAGTTTATAAATAATAATATAAGAGAATCCACAAAAAACATCCCGTTTTAGTGCCCAGTTTTTAAATAATCTTGTTTTTTATGACACACCTTTAAAACCAGGCTTATTTTGTTCGCAATTTTATATACTATGGGCAAAAAATCTTAAACTCGGGTTTTAGAAGAGGTGATACCCGTTTTTTTATGATTCACAAAAAAAAAAAAAAAAAGATTTGTTTGAAAATTCGGGAGAAACAATAGTTCTCGTCGGATAACTGTCATCGTTTCTGGGGCTATTTTGCGGCTCAAAGGACCTGCGAGGCCAGAGAATCGGGTAGCCGTGGAGTAAAAGTGCTTATGTAATAAATCCTATTTTTTCTACTAAGGGCACACGCGAACCTCAAAAACGCCTGGTTTCAAAGGCGTGACACAAAAAACAAGGTTATTTAAAAATCAAGCTCCAAAACAGGATGTTTTTCGTGTATTTTCTTATATTATCGCGGAAATGTCCATAGACGTTCACCGGTAGTACATCATGAATAAAGTTGTAAGTCGTACAGCTGGGTATCCCGGCTACTGACAGCACTCTTCTCCAATGAGCAAACGACTTACGTTAATTTCACCCTAGAACCTCCAGGGTTGACGAGTGCCACGAATATAAAAATGTTCTAAACAATACCGTCTCTGGTGGAATACCAGAAGACGTGTCTGGCCAGAGCACTACCTGCTTCAACACTTTAGAGTTTTGAGGCCGATTGACTATCTGGCCTGGTGCCGTCAGATAATTTTTTTTTACACATGTAAACCAGGGGCGACAGCCCTGAGAAGTATTGACAGCTACAACGGCTTTCTTCTCAGTGGTCGTCCCAAGTCCCAAAGGCATACTCACAGAGAAGATATTCTCCAGGCCCACTTTTCCGACTAACGATGAGCGGTTGGTTATCCGGGGAACGACCTGAAGACAAAATATTCTTTGGTCAGCGGCGTACCCCCCCCCCCCCCAGGTATGGTCTCAGTATACAGAGACTCCAAGAATAAGAGTCGAGATACCTGCAGTTGGCTCTCCATCATCAAGAATAATAGTAAGAAATAGCTGCAAGTTCAATCACTGGCTCTTTTCAGGGCCATTATAAGTATGTACGTTCCCTACTTAACCATCAATTTCATCGGTTCTTTTAAGGGTCACCTAACTTTTAATGACCTTACCAACAAATACATTTTTACTACAATTTCCGGAGACGATTCGTCAACTAAAAGACTATGTAAGGCCGGCTACTATTGAACCAAGTCAGTCATTCACTGGCAGACGTCACGAGCAGAGTTGCTCGTCGCAAGGTTGGAAACCCCGGTGACCAACGACCCTATATTATCCTCTCAACTTAAAATATTCAACAAGGAATCACCGATCCTCTCCCAGGTCGGCGCTGGGAGAACCTAACTGCTATGAAGAAAAAATAATAAACGTGAGCCAACGGGCAAACATCACAAACCAACCTCTCCACCTTAGATCACCGAAACAACTAAGTCTGAAAAAAAAAAGGTGCTTTAGACACCAACGTCTTCGACGTTATATCAGGAGACGTTGGGAAAGAGCTCTACAACTATCTTCAAAGCTTCAAACGTTGTAGTTTTCTTCCCGATCAGTGTGGTGTTCCAATAATAAGTCAGAGAAGATCACCCTGAGGTATCGAGGCAATCACGTTTGTTGGAGACTTTAGTGAAGAAAGAGTTTACTTAAAAAGCTCACCAGTCTTTTTCAGGGTCACCGGACGTCGGACTTCCTTGCCAACAAATATATAACAACCATAGAGTATCAAAAGATAGCTTATATGATTTGTAGAACCGTGACGTAACGTTCGTAAATTTTAAAAAGTATTAAATACTTGATTGTCTGCACCATTTTGCAAAAAAATTATTCTTAAAATTTATACCCATAATTCCCTTAAAGTCTTGTAAAATAAATTTCGTTAACAAAATTTTTTTTTTATTTATAGCATTATTGATACCGACATTCATTGATACAAATATGAATGACGAAGAAATAATTGTCCATGGAGAGATTTTTTTAAAACTATCATTTTATTGTGCAATGCTATAGGAACACCAAAACCTAATATCACATGGTATAAAGATGATGCACCCTTGAAGTTATCAGAACAATTTAGTTTAGTAGATAAAAACCAAAAACTCATAGTAAAGTATCTCTTAGAGGGTGACAGTTGAAATTATGCGTGTCTTGCTAAAAACGATCTTGGAGAAGTCCGAAGATCAGTAAAATTTACTGTTAAAGGTAACAAATAACTATTTTATCTAGTATTATACCATGTGTTTGTTTAAAAAAACTTTAAAACTAACAATCTATGAAACACAACACTAACGCCCAATGAGATATTCAAATTTCAGGAGCTGAAAACTCTTGGCTTCAAATTATCATTATGGCTTTATTAACCAGTTTTATTATGTTATTTTTTTATACTTTTATGTTAAACTACGTCATAAAAAGGTAAGGGACGTTTTTATAAGTAACGAAGATTTATAAATCAAATTTTACAGAAAATCTATATTTATTATTTAATATTTTATTGAAGATTAAGGAACAGTGGCTGAAAGCTCGCTTAAAACAGTTTGATCAAGGATCATAAGACCGCATAAATCCTCAGCTAACGATAATCGATCAATCAGAACTCCTCCCATATAATAGAAAGTGTAAAATCCCCATAGAGAAATTAAAGTTTGGTATGCAATGATTAATCATCGTGAGTAATTAGTGAATATTAAAATAATACCATAAGTTATTGTTTATAGAGAAGCAACTTGGTAGTGGACATTTTGGGGTTGCAATGAAGGCTAAAGCGTATGGAGTTTGGACCGATAAGCCTGTTCTAACTGTGGCCGTTAAATCCGCCCACAATGAAGCTGAATCAATTTACCTTCGTGCTTTAGAAAGGGGGCTAAAAATTATGATTCATTTAGGAAGGCATTTAAACATTGTCAATCTTCTGGGTGCATGTACCAAAAATATTGCACAAAGTAAGGATTGGCACGAAAGTGTAAATAAATCTGACCTTGAGAGTTTACTTAATTTTAAATACCTTTGAATACGTTAAAGGGGAATTGCTTATTATTTTGGAATTTTGTAAGTTTGGAAACCTACAAGAACTACTTTTGCAAAATCGAAGAAATTTGATAAATCAACCAAATTCGTTGACTGGTACAATAAACTCACCTGTTAAACAGGAATTGCAAAGGTACCATTATTCAATACAATTTGAAATAAAAAAAAAAAGTAAGACGTATTCATCACTAATTTTATTGTATTAAAGATACTTAAATCTGTTTGTAATTGTAAAGTCGCATTGCTCATGATCTTAACAACAGGGACACCCAACCAGGCTGGCGATCTAATTACCAAAATGTCTGTAATGAAGCGACTTGCATACTTGTAGATTCTGAGAATCTCTTGTACTGGGCATTTCAGGTAGCTCATGGAATATAATACCTGTCCAAAAGAAAGGTATAGACATATAAGTGTATGCGCATAATTACTTGCTTATGTTTTTTCCATTATTACTTACAAGTACCTTATCATTGTACTTATATTACTTGATACATGGATTCTGCATGCTGATTTGGCAGCAAGAAATATCCTTTTGTCAGAGAACAACATTGTTAAAATTTGTGATTTTGGTCTAGCTAAAATGATCTACAAAGACGGCTATTATAAAAAACAGAGAAATGGGGCAGTGCCTGTGGCATGGATGGCTACTGAGTCAATTAGAAATGGGATTTTTTTGACTATGTCAGACGTCTGGTCATTTGGTGTCGTACTATGGGAATTTTTCACATTTGCAGATATACTATTCTTAGGTATGGATATCATAGAACAGTTAGAAAGACTTATCAACGGCTACAGGTTGGAGCAGCCTAAATATGCAACCAGCACCATGTTAGTAAAGGAAACAACTAGTCCTTTGTCTTATATACAAAAATCTTTTAATGGCTTTTTACCTTATCTTAATATTTTTAGATATGATATTATGCTTTGCTGCTGGAAGGCTGAGCCTACTCTAAGGCCATCATTCACAGAGCTAATTGAGAGAATCGGTGAGCTATTAAAGGATGACGTCAAACTGCGCTATATGAATCTGAATCATACGTATCAGGTTCTTAATCAGGCACGAAATTTTGAGAGTCAGTACGACTATTTGGCCATGGCATCGTCTTCAGATCATCCAACGCTTGGTCTGACTCAACACGAATACGTCAACTGTGTACTCCAAATCAAAAAACCATTATACGTCAATACTATCGATAAAGAATCTTTCACTGACGAAATAATGTAACTAAAAGCCCTGTAATACGACTACAATACTACTATTTGATGTTTAGTTATATTTATAATGTGCCAAATTATTAAGAAACTTATTCAATCTTTTTTTTTGTAATTTGACAGTATTACATCTGAGTTGTTAAGTAAAGAGTGGAATTCGTAGATTCATTCTACAACCAAATAAGTCTAATTTTTGTTCATGTGGAATCAGCCGTTAGCTCGACAACTTTATTTGCTCTTACAGTGTGAATGCTTTACTTAGTTAGCTAATATGCAAACTAATAACCAAAACATTGTAAATATATTGCTTCTAAATTTCAGACTCTGGTCTATCATTTTCCTCCCCCATAAATGTTGCTTTTGACGTGGGCTGGACATAGGACGCGACGGGAAAGCCTCATCCACGAAGAAGTGTATTAGACGACAGTAGTAATAGTAATAAAGTGCTGCTAAAGAAAATGTAAGAGTGAAATGCAACAAGCCATTTAAAATTACTTAATCCCATACTTAGTAGAGCTGAATCGTAGTTACACAAGCAAAAATTCTACTCATGCTTTTCGTGTTCTAAATTTAAGTAAAGAGACAATAATGGAATTTAATTTAAGGGCGTAATTGAATACAATAATTAAAAGCTTACAGTCTTAAAACCAGGATGATCTAAGTTCCTTTTTTCTATTGTTAAATATTTTTGCATGAGAAATTAAACAAACAATTTTTCTAGTAACGGCGTAGCACAGTGATTCTGTATTCTGCTTTCATGCGGCTGAATGCCCGCAATGTCAAATATTTCGAAGAGAAGGAAAATTGTTCGCAAACACAGCAACTGTGTTTGTGCTTGTAGCCTTGGACGCAGAGGTCCCTAGGCTCTCTGACCTTTACAACTAAATGCCCGACCTTTTAAAATATGAATTTTTAAAATAATAAGCAGTGCAGATGCACATTACAATTCTTGTCACTAACAGATAATAACGACTCAGACAATAATAAGCTTTTGCCATGTATCAATTAAAGCAACCAGCGAAGAATTGTCCTTCAGTGATGTGTTGGTTCAAATGATTTTAAGAGACTGGACCTACAAATTTGGTAACAGCATTACTTCTAATACTTATTTAAGTACTTTTTATTGTAAAAGAGGAATTATTCTTAGAATCGCTAAATTGAAACACAATACAGGTGATTTCTTATTAATAATCATTTTTAAATCCTGTCTTGTAGAATGTGTATAGTTGAGTAATGACGAGGTTATGAGAAATTTATCAATATGTATCGAAAATTTCAAAACAGTTCATGCAGTTATCCACTGTTATAAAGTAGCCATTTAAAAATAAAAAAATTTGCACTATCAAATTGTCACTTCGTCCTACCATAGAGTTTACCAAACTTTAAAAATAATGACTGTCATCTAGCCAGGTGGTATAATATCATTTTTAAACAAGATTTCTGGAAGTTGAGTTCCTGATTCGACCATCTTTCAACAAAGTAGCCTTTTAGATTTGCTGAAGCCTGATGGCTCCTAGATGTTTGTTAAATGTTTCATAATTAATGAGGATTGTAAAGACAACGAAATTGAACTGGTCAGATCAGCATTCCTTAGAGATGAAAAACAAATTTGTAAAGAAGAAGCAGTCCTTAATGCTAGTATTGTCGGTGCTTTTGTTCTTGTCAAAAAAGCTGAGAAGCAATTAAAGGAATGTAAAGTTCTAGATGAAAAATTCCTGCTAACCTTATGTCTAAACGTAATGATTATGTCTTAAGGTAGTAGTCGATCAAAAACACTTTTCTTACGATTTTTCTAAAATTTTGTGTGTGCCTTAAGATTGCTATTATTTATCATGATCCAAAATTTGAAGAGGCTTAGCGGTATAGTTTTGGAGATATTAAAGTTTTAATGTTGAACTTTTAACACAGGAGGTATAGGAAAGCGCCGGATTGGGAGTCGATTTGTGAACGAAATTGCTTATATCTCTAAAACGCTTCTTACAATGTTTCGTAAAAAATAGTATGATATAATATATATTATAAAGCAACTGTGGTTCCAATTTAAAAGGGCTCAGCGGTATAGTTTTGTTGTTCGAGCTTTGCAAAGTTGATAAATTCAGTGAAATTCGCTCCTACAACGTTGTCATTTTTCGAGATAGTTGTCGAAGCGATATATATATAGTTTACGCATACGCTACAGCGCATTATGGCACGCACTGTAGAGTGCTCGACTACTACCTTAAATATGCTTACTCTATACTGGACATAGTCTATGCGTAGTCCTAGCATACTCTGGACAGGTTTTTTTTTTACGCGGAAAACCCAAAAAAATATGATTTTTGTAGCAGCATTTGTCAAAAGTTGTAAGAAGTTTCTAGGAAACAAAAGACACCGAATGTTTTGTAAAACAACCCGTGTATACGCTCGATCAAGAAACCATATGACAGTCATAAACCCACCGATAAGGAATCAGAGCCAAGAGTTCCAGATAAAAGCCATTAATCTCTCAAACAAAAAAACATTTTAGCTCTCGTGGTACAATAAACAAGGCGCTCTCTCGCGTTCGACACACATACGTATATGCACACGTTCGCTCAAAAGCGCACGTATAACATACATACGTAGCTACGAAATGATATATTCATACGTAACAGTCATGCCGGAGAGGATGGAATGGAGAAAAAATCCACAACATCGATTTATGGGGGATAACGCAAATACAAGTATAATATACATCTGACGGAGAAGTGAGGTAACCTTAACGCGCGCTCGCGCCTCGCCATGCTGCCGTACGCGAATAACAGGACCTTTTTGTTCTTTTGTATATTGTGTCTTTTGACCTCTCCCTTCCTCTCTCTCTCTCTGTCTTGGCTCTTTGTAAATCAATGTGCAATCGTAACATTTACGAGCCCATGTATCCAAGTATCCCTGACTCCATGCTGACGTGTATGTTGTAGAAGGGTAGACGGAGGATGAAAATTTTTTTTTGGTTCTTGGTTTAACAGGCAGCATAAAATGATCGAACAATGTATCACCTGGTTCTGGTATAACTAGAAATTAAACATTAGTATGAAAATATAAAAATATGCTCGTATGTTAATCGAACTAAAATTTATTCCCAAGTAAAAATAAGTCAAGTACATCCTTCAATCCACTATCAAGTGATGGAAGGACGCTTTTGCATTTAAAAATACGTGCTCCAATAAGACACGTATTTTGAGTAAAGAGTTCCAACGCAAAACAGCTTATCCACTACATGGATTTATCCTCGACGCGTGGTAGCTCCTCCTTCCAACTTGCGATCAAAAAGTTACGACTATACTCCACGTCGCTCGGCAATAATCACTCCCTCTTCCTCCCTGCGAGTTCGACCCACACCAATATATCGACTCATAATCTTGTTTACGTGTACTCCGATCTGGCTTTATGTAACTCCTTTTTCTTTTTTCCTTGCTTCTTTTTTATTTTTTTTTTTTTTTTTTAGGCTCGTGAACGACGTACCCCTTATTAAAAGGACTGCGAGCCCAGAAAGGCAGGCACAGGGACCATGTACTGCTAATTGGAGCCTCGCGTGGCGCATCGTCCTTGTCGTCACCAGATCGAGAATTAAGCGCCACGATGTAAGCGCACGCACGCTCCACCTCGAAACCTTTTAGGTATACATGTAGGTGCGATTGTGTATAAATTCACACAAATACGCGCTAACGCACATACACATCGAACTTTTCTCTTCCGCTGTAGTCATCGAACTCTTTTTATTTTTCCTTTTGTTTTACTATATCTTATCCCTACAATCGGGTTATCTGGGCTTCCGTTTGCTTCCAAAAGTTGTGGCCAAAACGTAGTTTATTTTTTCCTTTTGTTTTATAACTCCACTTGCATCCACTGCAAATCCAATCATCCAATTTCTGCCATTGATTTTGACTTTCTATTTACTTTATTTACAAAGTCTATTTTATTTGTGAAAATGCCCCAAATTTGTAAAAGTATTAAATCTTAAATACTTGATGACTCTCTAAAAGTCTGATAATTGGGTCATGTACCCCTAGGAAATTACAAACCTGAATGACAAACGTCTATATTTTTTCGTCGTTAACTGTATACTTACTTTGAAATAAGTCACTAAATTTAACAACTTCCTGAAAATATTTTAAATTGCTCTCTTAGTTGAGAGCCACCATACTTGCTTATACATTTATAAGCTTATTGGGTTTTGAAGGTTATGTTTGTAGGTTACGTGCTATTGCTTACAAAATAATTTAAATACGGGAAGCACGAAATTGAATCGTATGGTTAAAAACATACTCATGCTTATTTCACAATGCGTTTCTGTACGTAAGGTTCACAAGTAGGTTATATTTGATTTATACGTTCCCAATTCTTTGATCTTTAAATTCAATAAGAAGCCCGTACTTCTTTATTTTGCTTTTCACCAATATTGAATCATTTTTGACCAACACATAAGTAAGTAGGGATCTTACTTCAGTTTGTATTGTTTAAAACCCTGTAAATCAGGGTATCATTGTGTATTTGGATGTGGTATGGCAGTTTTCTCTTCTATTCACAAAAATAATAAAAACGTTATGCATTGCTGCTCCCGTCAATAATTGATCAAAGTACTAATCAAATGAACTAACTGCGATTTTTAATGGCTACAATAAATTTGGGTGTAGGGCTGTTGAATGCACATGACGTTGAGAGCTCGGTGTACCAGCTGTGTACTACAGATGGCCAATTGAAAAATCATAATCCCTTGGTTGCAGTGCTCGTTTTCTGTTTTTCAAAGAAACCTCGCCCCAAGCGCGCACTTTCTCTTACCGCGTTTCGTTTCGGCTCTCGGGTTTCCGTCGTTTCGAGCTTTGGATAGTCCATCGCAAGTATATCGTGACTCGTTCTCCGTAGGTACTGTTCCAACTTTCACCTTCTTCATGCGACCTAAGCTCATTACGTACGATTACACGTATTTGACTGGTTTACGTCACATTCGCCCGACAAATGCATATTTTGGTGTCTCGTTGCCTGAAATTCCGTTCGAAAGCAGATCACCTCTGTTTACGATGTATTGAAAGTAACAGTATAATCAGAGCGGTAATTTGTACTGAGTCTTGGGGGGGGGGGGGGTTACGACCACGCATAAAAATATCTAATCCTCGAAGAAAACTCGCAATTGTTTTGAGCCTTGGAAGCGCTTACTTACAACATTATAAATAATTGTGCTTTAACCAGCAACCTTGAAAAAATTTGATTAGTTAATGTTCGCACTTGCATCGCACACTTATTGCACTGATAAATTATCGCAGGAGCGTAATTGTGCGGTATCGATTTGCATGTTGTGTAAGGAAATGATAATCGCGTTAATTAATCTCGTTGCTCGAAAATAATGCATCTTGATGTCGGGCTTGGTACGAAAATTTATAACCAATAAGATTTATCACTTCCTACGTCTGTATCCACTGTACATGCATTTTAATTTTCCGATACTCAATTAAAATTCAAATAAGCTAGATACTACTTGGATCGTTTTTAATCGAAATTTTCACTGGCAGATAAACCGACCAAAGTATGTTAATCATCGAACATGTTTTAATTTCCTATTTACGTTAAATAAGAAAAATAAAAAAAAAAAACATATTTCCTTATTCGAGCTCAGAAAGTTCAGGGAAATTAAGAACAAGCCTTAGAAACTAAATTATTTAGATACGTATATTTATTTCCTTTACTGGTAAACATAATATGTATATAGCTTTACGGTCTGATCACCTTTAGGTATTTAGTCAGCTTGTAAAAGCTTGCAATTCTTTCAGCTTCCTAACAATACATTTGAGTCTTAAGACTAAAAAAGTAAATAAAGTAAATAACAAGGATTTGCAATGAAAATAAAAAAAAACTACCATCATACGTTTTTACTACCAACTGATTTGATTTTTTTTACATTTTTTAGGGTCAGAGTTTACACTTTACACAATAGCGGGAGAACAATGGCAAACCCTTATTCAGCAACTTCATGAGTTTGTGGACCAGACAACTATCCTAATTCTATTCTTTAGTAAATCCTTCATGTAATGACATCACGTGGTTAGCGTAAGGTTTATAGGTTTCATTCCAAACTTTTAAAAGCTCTTCTGCATGAAATGGACGAATATTTTTCTAATTTTTTTTCGCATGCATCGCGTATATACTTAAAGTTTGCAGATAAATTGCTGTACTGATAAGTACGAGACGATGTTTTAGAACAATGTCTTGATGTCTGAAAAACGCATAAAGTTTAAGTATCGCATCTGGTTTTAGTATTATTAAGTTTAATACCAATAAAATAAAACGATTTAAATTGTTACATGATTTTATACATTTTATAAATTAGCCCTTAGTGATGGTTATAGTACTAACCAATATCTAAAATATCTAAAAACAACAACAATAATAATTTTGACTGTATTCATTTCTGTTGTTAATAACATAATGCTCAGTTTCTGTTATCTTAGTCTGTTTATGTGACAGCAAGCATGACAGTTTAAATCTACAGTAAAAAATTAAGTACACCACTCCAACAATATTGTTTGTATAAAAAGCTCTTGACCTCTACAAACCCAATAAAGAATAACACAGGTTAATACTTAAAGACAGAAAACAGCTGGCTTAATTGTTTTGATACATGTAGAAAATTTTTTCAGTCCATAATATGGACTAAACTGAGACTATCGTATTGTAGTAATTACAAATCCCTTACTTGAATAAAACGTCACCAAGATCTTTAATAACGGGTATACGAGAAGTA